GCGGACCACCAGGAGGCAATGGGGGCAGCCCATAATCATCATCATCGACTGCTTCTCCTTCACTTAGGGGTTCATCTCTTGATTTGCTTGGAACTGAGTTGGATTCTTCTTTCTTATTTTCTTCTGCAATGTATTTGTTAATTTTTTCTTTGACTGCATCCACTTTCTTCATCGGATCATCATCCTCACGGCTGTAACTTCGCCGATCGTCACTGTCCCTAGATCGAGGTCTCCCATCATAACGACGATTGTGGTAATCCTTATAACCAGAACCAGGTTTGTAATGGAAGAAGCGGCCCCTACTGCGACCTCGACCGCGATGAACAAATGGCCTGCCCCTTCCCTGAGGGTATTTCTGATGAAAGTTTCTACCTCCACGTGGTGTAAAGCTGCCACGCGGATTCTTGTAGTTCTGGAATCGAGGGCGGTAGTAAGTGCCTCGATTTCGTGGGTATCGCCCCTGGTGATATCTATTCATATGATAATCGTGCTTCCTTCGCCTGTCATCAGACTGGCTTCTACTACGACGATGGTAGTGACCTTCCTCTGAACGAGAGCGGCTACGCGAATACCTATCGTAAGAACGACTGCGGCTGCGATATGAACGCGATCGGGAACGTGACCCAGAGCTCCGATATCGAGGGTATGAACGTGATCTCGAACGACTTCCATATCGGCCATACGATCCTGACCTGGATCGCCGACGATCGTAAGAGCCAGACTTTGATCTGCTCCGATTCTTTCTGTATGAACGAGAACGTGAGCTGCTGTTGCTCGACGCACGACTGTACTTTTCACGGGACCGAGATCGACTATGTGATGATCCACCCGATGAAACTCCTGCACGTGGCTGAAGCTGCTGTGTTTGTTGCTGTTGCTGGGGTTGTTGTTGTTGCTGTTGCTGTTGTGGCTGCTGCTGCTGCTGTTGTTTCTTCTTTTTCTTCTTTTCTGAATCTGATGTGTCACTCTCACTGTCTGTTCTGGGGCCCTTGGGTTGTGAAGATGCTGTAGGCGTGCCAACCGCAGGTTTACCTCTGCCTATAGATGAAAAGGCAGTCTTCGGTGGGACACCTGGAGGAAGCGGAGGTAAGTCGTCAGATTTTTTATCCAGCACACGTGGATTGATACGAAAACCTCCCTGGTACTTCTCCACAAACTGCTGAGTCTTGCTGACGGTGTCATCTCGCACTTCATCCGAACCTTCGTTTTTTGCCTTCTCAGAATTAATCTTATCAGGTAAATCCCTCGCAGTTCCCTTTCTGGCTTGGAATTTCTCATCTGCTGCTCCCTTCTTCTTCCTTTCACCTTCTTCATCACTACCAGCTTTGTCAGCATCATCTTTAATAAATATGAATCTCTTCTCTTCTACCTCTTCCCATGGCTCCTTGTCAATCTGCATCTTTTCCTTTTTCTTAAGTCTGAAAATATTTACAAAAAATATAAGCTTAAGAGATGAAAAAGATAAGGCAAAAAAATATATAAAACTGTCGCAGATATCTCACCTTGATGGCACAGAACCAATCTGCATTTTCCACTTCGCAGCCATTACTGTCGCAGCTTCCGATTCTGTCAATTTACCTTTATCCCTAGGTGGTGATGGAGATTCAGCAAAGATATCCATCTTTTTCTTCTCTATAACAAGAATGCATTATTCAGAGCTCAAACATCCACAAGGGAGGACGTGGCACGACTATAACAGCACCAAGTTAAAACTTAACAACAATCTGTTCATTCTCATGATTTGTCAGGACAACACAGTTTGAGCGAAAACCTTTTAAGAAGCTGCCTATCCATGAACGCAAATGCAAAGTTAAATAGCTGATCTTAAAATCACAAAAGGCCTGTAAAGAGACAAATGCTAGCAAAATTGAAATTTCAGTACTACCAACTTCTCACAATGAATAATTGGTTAATGTTGTGCTCAAGAATAATACATGGTACATAGTTTTAATAAAATATACTGGGATCGGCCCGTCGCAAGGCCTCTACCTGTACACAGGACAGCACGACACAAAAAAAGGGGAAAAACATCCATTGCTTGAGTGGGATTCGAACCCACGGTCCCGGCGACCAAGAGGCACAAGGCCCACGCCTCAGACTGTACTGGAGAAGTTCCCTGGTGTAACACTTTCAAGCATCGTAACACAATGCATATTTCTTTTGCAAGCAGCAGCTAATTACCTATTATTTTAAACAAGCGGACCAGATTCCATAGCTCGCAAATGGGCATGACCATCTAAATGTTAGACACGCAATATTAAAATCAACAGCGAACGCAGTCTTACCCCTCATCCGCAGGTTCTCCTCCACCTTCGGGTCATCGTGATGAACGAACATGACTTTCGGAGACACATGCTTCCCCTTCCCTGGACTTGCTGAATGCCTCTTCTTGTCCTTCTCTGTTTTTTCATCAGCCCTGCTATTAGACAAAACCAATGCGTGAACAGTAGGTTAAATTGAGATAGCTCAAACCGCCACAAACACATACAGGCATACCTCGTTTTATTGCACTTCGCAGATATTGCGTTTTTTACAATTTGAAGGTTTGTGGCGACCCTGCGTCGAGCGAGTCAATCAGCGCCATTTTTCCAACAGCTTGTGCTCACTTCGTGTCTCTGCGTCACATTTTGGTAATTCTCGCATTGTTTTTTAGACATAATGCTATTGCACACTTAATAGACTACAGTATAGTGTAAACATAACTTTTATATGCACTGGGAAACCAAAAAATTGCGTGACTCGCTTTATTGCGGTGGTCTGGGACCGAACCCGCAATATCTCCGAGGTATGCCTGCAACATAATTTTAATTTAGAATGTCTACAATCACTATTGTGATCATCTTCAATTTTGACCAATCAAGCAAAATATTTCTACCGCCACCATCACCAGGGAGCCCGATGTTTCAGCTTCTGACGGACGTTGCCAGCTAATAGGATAAGATGAACTACTTGCCGAAAAAGAAGACGTCATATGTATATTTGCTCTGTCAGGTTTTTAGTACGACCTACCCCTTTGACAGTCCAGTGTCCTTCTCAACTTTTGCGTAGTACGCATTCAGTTTGGACTCCAAGTCCTCCAGATCAGGAAGGTTATCCAATCCTAGCAATCTAGAAAGAAGAAAAAGAAAAAAAACTGTTAAAAGGGTAGTCACGCGGTAGCAAAACTGTCTTATTTTTTATGTCCCAGGTTCAAATGCAAAGAAAGATTCATTACATAAAACTATCTTTACCAATTGGGAACAATAGTCGCTCGACTGTACGTCAAGCACTTTGAATTTCAGGTCAAACTTCTATATATATATATCACTGGCCCAAGTCAGTACAAGACTTTACACTGCTAGCACTAAAACTCCCTAAATTAGTGCACGACCAAAGTATCACAAAGAGTGGTATCACGTACTAAGAGGTTGCTCTAAGGTTCCTCAACAAAACGTCTGAATTTTCTTTGTATTTTCCTCCTTCCTAAAACTGTTTGGTCTTTTTTGATATGGTTCAGTCTACATGATAACACCGCAGCCATCAGTTGTTGCCGTATGAAGTTTATAGCCGAGCTCTGATTCAAATGACGAGCAAAAGAGTAGACACGTGGATTCACTTTCAACTATAACTATAATTACTCAAGCAAATCTTCATCTTTATTATAATTTAAAAACTTACCGAAGATCCTTCTTCTCTTCACCCGACCCATATAAGAATTCCTCTTCGTCGTCTATGCTCTTGCGTTTCCTCAAATCATCTTTAACGCTAAGCTCCTTTCTCAGAGCATCTCGAAATTTCTTCGACTCCATCTGTTCTTCAAAAGATTTAACATCAAACTTCTCTGCTCTCTTGTTACTTCTATGTTTCTTCTTCTTATCATGATCTTCACGATCACGGTCCCTTTTCTTCTTCTTACTCTTCTCTTTCTCTCGAGACTTCTTATCCTTCTTCTTTTTCTTTTTGGATTTTTCCTCCAACGCTTTCCGCTCCTTTTTCCTATGGGAAAAATGGCGTAAAAGGCTGATAACAGATTTAAATGTACAAGAAACACAAAATAGTGCAGTACGTTGTACAATACAGATATTTTAGGTTTAATCCTGGGGCAATTTTACGTTTAGATTACATAAAATTTTAGTAAAAATCCCAACCAGGAAGACGAAAAAGGAATAGAATGGGAAGACCAGCGAAATGTCCAGAGTACAAAAGGAGGCATTAAAATTCAGTTTCAGATTTGAAAATCCCAGAACCAATAAAACCTTTCATGAAATATTCAATCCATATAACGTGAAAACAACCCGATACACATTTACTATTCCTTAAACAAAAAAATACAAGATTTTCACCAGCACAAATGTACATAAGTCATAGGCTGATGACATGACTTTCTTCAGAACAAAAATTAGAATCTGTATTAATAATAACCATGTTCAATTAATTCAGCTGCAATAACATAACAATTCTAGAATTTCCAATCTGTATGGGAGGCCACACACGCTCCGGCTTGCGTCCCTGAAGGCCAACCTTCCGGCAAACCGGAGTGTGTTGAAATTGGCCGGAAACCGAGCCCCCGATAAATCTGCAGTCGCTTGATTTCTTGCCTCGAGGCTTACTGGATGTTTACAAGTCGTAACGTCTGTGGGCAGAGACGAGGGTAAAGGCAAGGCTTGTAGCATCTAGTCATCTCAACCAGCCACCAAGAACTTCAAATCCTCGTAGTTTAACAGTTCCAAATATGTGTCCTCATCCATTCGCAGGTAGTTATGCCAGTCCGTCCGCTCTAATCGAATTTCATTCAACAAATTTATGTGAGAATGTTTTGATCCATCGAACCAACTTCTGACCCACTTAGAACGTTTCAGCTTCCTTTTCTTTTTCAGTGTTAAAGTAACGGCAAGACCGATTAAAATCGCGTCGTCTTCACTGAACATGTTGTAGCATCGACTAAAGAATAAAAAGACTAAGCACAAACCTGCCACGTGTGTGTGGACTCTCAGAGGTTTGAGGCTTACCTTCCGACGCTAACTTGGAAGGCAGGCCTTCCGGCAAGCCGCCCTATGAGGTGAATACTCAGTAACACATAATGATCCAACTGAATGATTGATAGTAAACAGTCCAACTCATACTTACAAAAAATGACTTACGACATATTTCACATATTTCTGTTATATTTCATTAAAATACTAATATTTTATTAAAGTATTCAGAACACAATAGCCACTTCTTCCCCTCTATTGCATGAGGAGCCAAAACTTCTGAAGCTGTCATACATGAAAGCATCTAGCAATATGAACGTTCTTTGACAACTTACCATCTGGCAGTCTCTTCCAGGAATTTCCGCACCTTCTCCTCGTATTCTGAATCACCCTTTGTCTGCTCCAGGAATCTGCAAACTCTCTGCTCATACTCCAAGTCTTTATCATATGCTTTGGACAATGTATCAGGAGCGGCCTGGAAAACTGCAGCACTCCCTATAACAATTTAACATGGTCGTAACACGAAGTAGCCGACACAAACCCAAATCCTAACATGGTGACGTTTTATAGCCACCACAATTCAAGACGGTTTATCCCACTTCAAAATCGAATCAACCACGCAGAAAAAATTTGATGTTTCCTCATCATGTTCCAGTAGAACAGTGGTCCCCAACGTGGTGCCTGGGCGCCCGCCAAGGCTTTTTTTGGGTGCCCGTGTTGTTACGGAAAGAGGTTATACTGAATAATGAAGGCCGTTCAACCATGAACCTTATAAAATCAAAGCACAGATCTCAACTTACTGACGCCCATCTTGACGATTGTTTGTGAGAAGCAACATCATCCTACACTCCCAAATTTGAAAAAATTGCCGATGAAATGCAGCGCCAAACATCGCACTAACTTCCCACTTGAGTAATAATAATTGTACTTATAAAACTACATATTTTTGATTGTGTGGTTTCTTGTATCAGTAAACGTGTTGTTTTGCGTATTATTTGGTGTCCATATCTTATTTGTCCAGAGAAAAGAAAATTTGGCTTTGTTAATTGGTTGGTGCCTGCCACGATCTCATAAACTCTCAAATGTGCCTGTAGGCATTAAAAGGTTGGGGACCACTGGAGTAGACCCATATCTGAGCAAATGTTCTGCTCTCCTTAATCCATAAAATGACGAACCGCAAAAGACAATCCAAATCTTTTATCAGCATCCATTTGTACCCAACAGTGTTTTACTTCAAGCATAAACTACTGGTAGCAGAACCCGCAGGTAAAACACCGACAACACCGAAGCCCTTCACCGGCGACGATCCTGAGCCAAATCCACCCATTTGCCATTCTCACAGCCCATCCCCCAAGATCCATCTTGATGTTATCCCATCTCCTTCTTGGTCTGCTATACTTTAAGCATATCTACAATTACAATTTTTTAAATAACTCTGCACAAAATCCAAACTGAATTACTACTTACGGGCAAAAGTAAATGGGAGTGCTGGCGGATTATAATGCGACAATCTTTGCGCTATCAAACCAGTAAGACCTGAAACAAAACAAAATATATAATATACATAAAACAAATTTCTCTGCAACAAAAAGTTAAGCGCTTGACATATCAATAACCTTCTTACACAATATCTACATAGTAACATCTTTAAAATATGACAAACCAAAAAAATCATTTCTACCAACATATGCATACACTGCAAACATTGTAAATACAAAATACGTAAGAAAACATCAAACCAAAAATAGTTTCAGTCAATGACCCCCATCTGCAACAAGGTGACACACTACTTTTTAAGCAGATATTGCTACGCCCTTTGATAGGACGGTGACGATGGCTGGATAATACGCATGGTAATAGCATATCCCTAAGCTGTTAAGCACAGAAGTTGAGCCAGCAGCCCCATAGTATAGGGGTTGAAATCCCCATTTCCATACAACAAATGTTTTAGACTACAAAATTCCTGTATTCTTTACCATCTCCATCATGAGTTGGATCCATGAGAGCCATTCTCTTGCTCAGTGGCGACAACGACTTCTCCCTCTTGTCATCTTTCTTTCGAGAGCTGAAAGGAACAATCAAATTATTACATGTGGCATATTTTATACTACTAGAGCAGGGCGCTCCTTTCGGTCAAGTTTGTAAAACGCAACCAACCTTGGTTAGTCCCAAAGGGGAGTTAGTTTAGTGTCTCATTCAAGTGTTTTA